TCCTCCCGACATCAGTGTTTGCTAGAAATTCTCTCCCTCCCAGCGCTCTCTCATCCACCCTCCACTGCGTCCAAACACTCTTACACTCCCAGCATGGAGATAGACAGACTCATCCTGTCACTGTCTACACCCCATTCCACCAGTTGCAGTAGGTCCTACGTTTGATGTCCCAGAGTCTCCCTCCTCTGTGTTCCTCATTGCTGGCCTGACAACTATCTGCAAACGAGATCTGTGCACAAACAACAACTCTAGCACCCAGGTACTGGGCCAGCGACGTACGCAGATTGGTGAGTGAGTGTGCAGAGTTGAAAGCCTATTTGGTTTATCCATACTCAGGGTGGATGTTGAGTCTCCCAGCTCTGGAGGACTACTGGAAGGTTGACCCCTTCTACACTTCATCGCCAAGTTCGCATTTCGAGACAGCGTTTTAGGACATCTCCGCTACCAAACGACCTCCACTTTGTGGACACACCAGCTAGTGTCTCTTGGTCAGCCTGGCTATGACAAACTGGGGAAGGTGCGACCGGTCATTGACCATTGCAGTAGGGTGTTCAGGGAGAGTTACGACCCACACTGTGAATGCGCGGCTGATGAGGCAATGATCAAATGCCAGAGCAGGACATCCCTCAAACAATATATCCCACAGAAACCGGTAAAGAGAGGGATAAAAGTGTGGGTCAGGGCTGACAGCCACAATGGCTACTTCAGCCAGTTTGAGGTGTACCAGGGGAAGGGGAGCAACACGACACCTGAGCTTGGTCTTGGGGGGTCTGTGGTGAAGACCTTGACACGGCCTCTTGTGGGAAAACACCACCATATCTTTATGGACAACTTTTTCACGAGCCCAGCACTGCTCATGGACCTGCTTCAGGATGGCATCTACGCCTGTGGAACAGTCCGATCGAACAGGAGAGGTTTTCCACAAGATCTAAAGGGGAAACGAATATTGAAGAACAGGTATACACACTCTCGTACACACACCTCTACAGGTACACACACACATCTACAGGTATACACACTCTACATATGTACACACACATCTACAGTTATACACACTCTACATACATACATATTACGCTACATACATAGTTTTATAATACACACTTTTGCAGGGGGGATTTCACAGTTCGACAATCTGGTCAGTTGACGGCAACAGTCTGGTTGGACAACAAACAGGTGCAAGTGATGGCGACCATGTCCAGCCAGATGAGAGAGGGACTGTCAGAGCTCAGGCACACTGACACCACTGTGCGTGAGGTCCAGGCACCGACATCCATCAATTACGTACAACAAGTGGATGGGAGGAGCATTCAGGGACAGGGGTGATCAGCTACAGGCAGATATTACCACCCGTAGCCTAAAAAGGAGCCGGAAAGTGTACAAGTACATTTTCTGGTTTCTTGTAGACGCCTCCATCGCCAACGCGTTCATCCTCCACCAGAATAACACCTCCACATCCACCAGACCGTCACCATTCAAAGCCTTTCGTCTCGAGTTGGCGAAAGCTTGATAGGGATTACACAGCAGGAAGCGTGCAGCGCCAACAGCAGCTCCAGTTGTCCCCGACCCCGACGACCAACATCACTAGCCACTTCCCATTGCGGCGACCACAGGCAGCAAGAAGGGCATTGCTCGTTGTTGGCACTGCTCCCACACACGTCGGCCGCCACTGAGGAGAGAGACAATGTGGTACTGTGGAGAGTGCGACTTGTACCTCTGCCACACAGGAGTCAGAGAGACTGACTGCTTCATGGCACACCATGAAGCACTACTATGAGTATTGTGCACTTTCATAGTACTAAACTGCACATACATCTAAAAGTACACGTAAAGCGGCAAGTTCTAACGGCAAACACATCACTTATGCTGTGAATAAACTTACTTACACAGCATTCCTGAAGCGTTCAGGGACTCTTCTTCACATTAGCGCTGAGTTGCGTATCCAAAAGCTCCGACAAACATGAGAATCACATCAACCCTTCATTTTCTTACACAAATGTTGCGTAAAACTTACCTTCACACTATTGCTGAAGCTGCAAGGGACTCTTCGTCATAGTAACGCTGAGTTGAGTGTATAAAAGTTCCACCGTTTATTCGCTAGGACGCCTGGAACACGAAGACCACGTGTACGTACGCGGTTGCGAAATCCGGCCCCACCCTTACGGCGTGCGCGCGCATGCGCGCATAAAATTAACGGCGTGTAATCGGTTAAGTATCGAGGCCCTAGGCCTTAGCCCTATTAGTTCAATACTTAAGTATCGAGGCCCTAGGCCATAGCCCTACTTTAGTCCAATACTTAAGTGTCGAGGGCCTAGGCCCTCACCCTACTTTAGTCCAATTCTTAAGTATCGAGGCCCTAGGCCCTAGCCATGCTTTAGTCCAATACTTAAGTATCTACGCCCTAGGCCCTAGCCCTCCTTTAGCCCTAGTCCAATACTTAAGTATCGAGGCTACCCCTACTTTAGTCCAATGCTTAAGTATCGAGGCCCTAGGCCCTAGCCCTACTCAGTCCAACACTTAAGTATCAACGCCCTACCCCTAGGCCTACTTAATCCAACACTTGAGTATTAATGCCCTAGCCCCAGCCCTAGCTTATTCTATGCGCTAGCGCTTGAAAGTAGAAAACAATTATAGAGGCATATAAGGCATATATATATGTATATAAGTGGAGGACCAGGGGTCGGCTTGAGGTATAAAGACACCTGCTGTGCAGTCTGGACATCACACCTCTTTTGTTTGAAAATGTCTGGCCGAGTGACAATCGGCCAAATGTTTTTTCGCTCTCGACCACATTCACTGCCAGCCTGTTGTTAATTACGCAAACTTGAGGGTAAGCTCTATTATATGAAGATGTAACAGCCCTTCTGTAACATGGAGGGAACATTGTTGCCTTAGAGACACATATATCTCTTATCTGAATTCAGATGGTGTTATGCCCTGCTGGGCCCCGAAGCTACAGAACCAGACAGAAAAAGGGGGAAGTTGGGACAGATACAGCAGAACATAACAGTACCTGGAAGTGCCCTGGCTTGCAGCAAAACAGCCAGGAACTATCTTTGGGAGATGGTTATCGTCCAAGTGGGAGGACTGTTCTTTGACAGAATTAACTGTTCTCCTTTACTTCTAGAGATCCTCCCAGTCTATATGCAGTGGGGTCAGCTGATGAAACATATGCGATCACATCTCCAACGAACCCCTCAAAGATGTCAAGCTCGCCTTATGAATCAGGAAAAAACAGGCCCACAACACCAACGAACCCCTTTCCTCCTCGAAGATTACAAGAACAGATGCGATCACACCTCCAACGAACCCCTCAAGCTCGCCTTATCAATCAGGAAAAAACAGGCCCACAACACCAATGAACCCCTGTTCCTCCTCGAAGATTACAAGAACAGATGCGATCACACCTCCAACGAACCCCTCAAAGATGTCAAGCGCGCCTTATCAATCAGGAAAAAACAGGCCCACAACACCAACAAACCCCTGTTCCTCCTCCAAGATTACAAGACGTTCTTTTGTCAAAAAGGGGGAAAACACATTGACAAGAAATAGTGGAAGAATGAACGTCGAAGAATGGACGTCGCAGTAAGGGTCCGCCCGCTTGTAGAGAGGAATACGCTCCTGCTTTGTGAGACACCATCACAGTTGTCGTTAGAGGTGTGCAATTCTCCACAGCGGGGAAGGATGGACGTAAGTGGCGCGGATGTTCACGCGGCCAGGAACCGCCCGCCCATCGTCCACTATCTTTAAAGTGGGAGGACTCATCAGCTGGCCCCACTTAGTGCAACACGAAAGCTATAAATAGGTGAACACAGATGAAGAGAGGTTTGTTGGAGGTGTATGGGCGCCTGCAGTGCTGTCTCCCATCATACACGATGGCTAGGGCTATTCCCTTCCTCTTTTCTTAGAAAAGCAGTGGTCGGGTGACGATCAAGCAAATGTTTGTTCGCTGTCGACCACATTCACTGCCAGCCTTCTCATGGATGGTGCAAAATTGAGGGTAAGCTCCCGTTGTCTGAAAAGGTAACGGCCCACTGGTTGTTCCCTGCCGGGTGACTACACCTGTAACGTGAAGAATCGGAATGAGATAGAGAGTGCCAAGCTCAGCGATTTCTTCCATGGCCAGAGGAATAACCCATGGTTCAAAGTCCATTCCCTGTCATTGTGTGTGTTTTCCCACTGGAAGTCTGCAAACAGTTCCTTCACCATTGACTTCATCACGGAAACTGGAGGGAAAGCCTTACTATCTACGTATTGCGCGGATGGGCGTGGCAATCTCAAAGGGCAAAAAATAAATGATACAATAGACAAGCAAAAAAAACAAAAGCAAAAAAACAAACAAACAACAAAGTCGTTGAGGCATCCCCCTTTTTTTACAAAGTATCGTCTTTTGTAGTCGGTGCTGTATTTAAATATTCTGTGTATTCAATGTCACTGCTTTTGACTTCCTGAATCGAAAAAATGCACGTCAAACATGTGGCAGGTACTCAAGGCATACATGTACATGTCAGATCCTGAAGCCACAAACAAGACACACTATGTGTGTCAATACTGCCAGCCCATTCTGAACCAGGACAAACAGCCGTCCAGGTGTGTTTTGAATGGGCGGCCATGAACGACGTGCTCGACTTGCACCAGAACAATGAGAGTGACGGACCTAGCCTGGAAGAACTAGTTCAGTCACTGAACACCGACCAGGCTAGGGTGTATGAACACGTTAAATCCCACCTCGAGCACCAGCTGACTCACGAGAAAAAGCAGTGCAGTTGTACGGACCTCAAACCACTGCACATGTTTTTCAACGGGGTGGGAGGTATGGGCACGTCTTTCCTCATCAAGACTGTCCGTGCACTTGAAATGAATATGTGAGAGAACGAAACGCAGTCCACACGGTGCGCCATCACTGCTCCCACTGGACTGGCAGCATTCAATGTCGGTGGAGTCACCATCCACCGACTGCATTGAGCACGAGAGGAGAGGAGCTGGCTACTGGAAGATACCGAAAGATGGACTAATGGTCATGCGTGCGTCTCTGTCCAAGCTCAAACTGCTCATCATAGACGAAGTGTCGATGGTGTCCAGTTTGAACCTTGCGTACAGTCATCTCCGTCTCGATGAGATCTTTGCCCGAGACGAGTGGTTTGGCGGGGTGAACGTTCTGTTTGTGGGAGACATCCTGCAACTCCCACCAGTGAATGGAGCTGTGTTTGAAAAGATCAACAACAGATCCATAACAACCAAGCTCGGGTGCATGACGTCAGTCAATATCTGGCAAGAGAACGTGGTCTACGACAAGTTGACCATCAACAAATGTCAGAAAAAGGACCAGTCATTCAGCTCCATGCTGACAAAGTACGACGGTGATGCCGTCCTCCAGGCTCTCAATGAGAGGTAAACCACTACACCGACTTTAGATAAGTTTGAAGAGCTGTTGTCTACAGAAAATTCTCCACTGTGTCTCTTCCCCACACGTGAGGCAAGTTCAACTCGGACATGCTGTCAAAGCTGGGTTCCGAAACAAGAGATTCCTTGTGTCGACGGGGTTGACGAAACCCAGGGCACTTTAAAGTGGAGCGAAAAAGCAACAGAATGGTTGAAAAAAAATCAACAGTGACTGTAACCTGACAGCCGGCCTGGAGGCAGTGCTGCAGGTTGCTGTCGGGGCACGGGTCACGCTGCGTAGGAACATCGACGGCAGCAGTGGCCTCATGAACGGAGCAGTGGGTACAGTGATTGCCATCAAAGCCCACCACAGCCTCACGACGTCGAGAAGGTAAAGAGCAAGTTTATGCTCATGAAGAAAGTTTATGTGTATCGCAAGCAGTTCCCGCTGATACTGCCATTTGTCGTCACTGTGCACAAGCGCCAGGGTCTGTCGTTGGACTGTGCCATCATGGACCTGTCGGAGCAGGTGTTCTGTCCAGGTATGGCATACGTGGCACTGTCACGTGTGAAGCAGCTGGAGAACCTGCATCTGATTGCATTCGATGAGGATGCAATTAAGGTCAGTGCCAAGTGTCTGCAAGAAATCAATCGATTGAGACAGACATTCCGTCCAGATTGCCTCAGTATTCAGTGCCCCGGGAGAAAAGAACCACTGTCAAATCGCGAAAGCGAACGATGAGTGGTGTTATGGACAACAATCCTCCCAGTCCAAAGGCTCTGGACATCAATCCTCGAGTCCTAAGATAAGTGAACAACTGCCGGAGATAAAGGCGGATTTCACGTATAAAAGAAATGTGGGACCTGAAGTTTACCATCAGCAGCGATACGACCCAGTGACTGAGGACTGGCAGCAACAGCCATGCCAACGACTGGGTCTGCACTTTTTCAAAGCCAATGGAAGCAGCCACGATGTTGTCCTTCTGCATGGTAAGAGGGTACCAGGTGATGGAAATTGCCTGTTCCGTGCTTTCTCCCATACCATTACTGGGGAACATTTCAGAATACGCTCAATTGTATCACAGCACATGAGGTCACTGAGACAGCATGGTCTCAACCACAGCTTTGAAACTTCTGTTGTAGGGATGAGCATCTTGCACGCTCTGGAATTGAGCATAACGGTGTTTGGGGCACTGACATTGAGCCCTTGCACACCTTTTAAACATCAATATTTCCTTGTTTGATGTACTTTTTGCTCAATATGTAGTACGTGGGCCATATATTGTTGATCCTACACAGCAAATTTATAACACGAGGCTGTCATTCACTGGGAATCACTTCAATTTCGTACTGTCCCAGCAAGAGTGAATTACATGTACCTGCAAGCAGTTGTTAGGACAGTCGGTAGTCCCCACTATCGACGCATGTGACTGATGTGATTTATTGTGGCGGTGAAGGAGGAGGTGGTGGGTCACTGCTGTTGAGAATTACGGCATAGACTGTGCTGAGAAAAACCATAGTGTGAGTCATGGTATTAGAGAGGTGCTCGTACCTCCAGTTATACCTCCCTGTATAGGTTGAAGGTAGACCTCCCTGTAAAGGTTGAAGGGCACCATCTACCTGAAAAGGTTGAGGTCCACGAGACAACACGTGTGATGACTGAGTAAATGAGTAAGTTTGCCACAATTTCTAATTAATGTATGAGCATTTTACAGCTGCATACTCAGATATCCCACCTACTAACATAACCTGCCATCAGAGAATCCTACTTTGCAGAAAATCCGGGTATCAACTCTACCATGTATCCTCTAGTTGGTAAACTGGTATTATTGTCACTACATGCCTCTATACAGGACTTGTGTAAACTGTGTAATGTTACAGATGTGCAGGAGTAGCCACACTACAACAATGTGTGTAATTACACTTAACAGGTCAGGGGAATTACCAGCCGGAGGTGGGAAATCCAAGTTCTTCACTTCCATGTGGCACTGGAACTACCACTATGTTAAGGGCTTATGATTTTCTCCTGAATGTATAATTGCACAATGGATTGTCTCGGAGCATTATGTCCAGAATGACTGCGCGCGCACACGATCGAAGAGTGAAAATGTACGGTGGTCAGTAGGCTGTTCATGCGATTGCATTGTGCATGCATGAAAGGTTGGAACGAGCAAGCGCGCTCATGGGATCGCAGGATCAAAATGCCCTGGAGCATTATGTCCAGAATGAATGTAGGATATATTACATTATCTTGATTTCAGTTATAATATACCAAATAGAATTACATGGTGGAGGCATCACAAATGTGTGTAGGATGAAACCACTGGTGGGAAAGTTCACTTACAATGGCCATTACGGTGCATACCACCACAACAACAGACATTAGCTATTCAGTTTTGTGTAATGACTTTGGCTTGTAGACTTTAATGTAGGGGAAAGCAATAAACAATGGTTTCAAACAGCATGTGTACACATTAAGGAATAAATTGCCAGGACAACAACCATTGCAGTGAGTATTCAGTCTGGCACTAAATGCACTATTGGCTCTCATTACAAAGGTTGATCTACCCTGTGTCACAGATTAATATTCCAGCATCTAACCTTCTATCCAATGCCATCGGGACACTACCAACACACTGTACATTGCACTCAACTGGGTGTGGCTACGTTGCTGAAAAGTTGTAATGCTACTGCAACTGTACAATTATGGTGAGTATAAATAACATATACAGTCTCTCTGTCAGTTGGGAGGGAATGCTGCATCTATATTTGAAAGTCAGCAGAAGGATTACTGTACCTCTCTATCTTCCACGGATTTCCCCCTACTCTGCTGCACACATGCTCTCGATAGGTACAAAATCAACACCATGTGCTGTGATTATAGTGTTTGTAGTACATGTGCACTTCTACTTCGTTGGATGTGACATACAACAAATAAAATATATACCCCTGATGATAATCCATCCAGAACATAACATCTAGACTTGTTCAATCACTAAGTACAGTAGTAGAGTCAACGATCAATTTTCGGCCGCCATGAAATATCGGACGCGAGTATTGCTACACCAAACAAGCTATACTCAGAATTAATGTAGTAAGATGTAGACCTGTATCTGCCTATTCCTTGCTCACAAAATCTGGCTCCGAAATTACTCGTCGCTTTCGCAAGGCGCGCTAGAAGTGAACGTCCGGATTACGCCGAATTCGGCTAAATTTATCTATATTCGGATGGGCGTATTTCTTGGAGAAGGAAAAGCCGAAACAACTTGGTTATACCGTTTCTAAAATATTCTACCCTACTACTATCTAGCCGAGAAAACTAGACGTCGCTACGTCTTCGGGTCGGTAGTGACTAGCCGCCCAAAATAGGATGGTCACGCCCACATATGCGCATGCGTCGGAATCGGACACGTGTGTTGAAGTGACAGCTGGAAAGTCTTTCCTCCACCAAAATCCACCTGTTAATCGCCTTTTCGACCCTCCTGCTCCTTACTTGTGAGTTTAGCTAATCTAGACTGTTTATTTGCAGGCATGGGGCAATTGCATGTTGAAAGTAGCTGCTTGTATTCGCGCCATACGTCAATTGTTTGGAGTTAAGATTGTGTATACACACTTCAGTGTGTCACTTTGTAGATTAAGAGAGGGGAGATAGAGAGAGAGGTGTGGAGAGTGGAGGGAGGGAGGGGGAGTGAGGAAGAGATTGGAGAGGAGGGAGGGTGTGTGCATGTAAGGCAGGGCTTGTATTGTTTGTGTTTTAGTGCTTGGTTGAAATGCATACGGTGACTATAACATCTGCATAACCATTACAGTCTAGGGAGTTGTAGTTAACCCTTGGCGTGCATCCCTAGTGAGGAGGCATCAGAAGTTGCAATGGAGGGCAAGTATATTGAGTGCCGTGACACAAAACACGTCCGTGTTTCTAGTCATGTTTACGTAAATACTGCGCCAAGGGTTTGCATTTTAGTGCCTTTTCATTGTTATATTCAAGCATATCACATCTGTTAGCATACTTTTACCTCTCTTTTGCCACAGGCTGCCATATTAATGGTACCATAATGCTTCGGTGCCCTCCTCTTAGGGATAGAGTATATCGCAGTCATTCTACTTTTCGTGATTTGTCGTTGCATGGGAGAGGGGGTAGATATAAAGCATGGACAGAGGAACGAATGGAAAGGGCAACAAAAGCTGTTATTAGTGAAGGGTTTTCTGTGAGACATGCATCCGAAGAATTCAATGTCCCAAAGTCTACATTAGGCGACCGAGTGAGTGGAAGAGTTATGCCAGGATCTAATAGTGGGCCACAGAGATATCTAACTACAGCCGAAGAGGTAGAGCTAGTGCAGTTTCTCACTAGGGTTGCGGCCATTGGCTATGGCAAGACGCGAAAAGAGGTTTTGGCGATAGTGCAAAATATTATTGATGAGAAATGCCTGAATAAATCAGTAACCAACGGATGGTGGGAGACGTTTTGCCGCCGAAACCCTTCCATTTCATTGCGTGCTCCAACTCCTCTTTCAATGGCTCGTGCGAAAGCTACAGATCCAGATGTAATATGCCGTTATTTCGATTTGTTGGAGCGTACTCTTGATGAAAACAACCTAAGGGGAAAACCAAGCCAAATTTTCAATATGGATGAAAGTGGGATGCCGCTGGATCCAAAAGCACCTCGCATAGTTGCAGAAAGGGGATCCGATGCAACTGCCATCGGCTCAGGTAATAAATCACAAGTAACAATTGTTGCTTGTGTCAGTGCAGCAGGGTTTTGCATGCCTCCAATGGTCATATTCGATAGAAAGGTTTTGGTACCTGAGCTAACAGAAGGTGAGGTAGAGGGAACTCTCTATGGTTTATCAGCTAAAGGGTGGATGGACAGGGAACTCTTTGGATTATGGTTCAAAAACCACTTCCTTAGCTACATTCCTTCTGTGAGGCCCATATTACTTCTAATGGATGGTCACTCATCTCACTATTGCCCAAGTACCATCAGGCTTGCAGCCCAGGAGCAGGTTATCCTCTTTGCTCTCCCCCCAAACACCACTCACCTGTCTCAACCCTTGGACAAGGGGTGTTTTGGACCGCTGAAGGTTGCATGGCGGGAAGAATGTCATAGCTATTTGGCAAGGAATTCAGGCCGGGTCATTACACGTTATCAATTCTCCTCTCTTTTTAGGAAGGCATGGTTGAAAAGTATGTCATTAGCGAATATTGCAGCTGGATTCAGGGTAACTGGAATCTATCCAGTTAATCGTAATGCTCTCTCCCCAATCAAAGAAAAGGCTGATTCCTTGACCAAAGAGACCGGCCTTTCGTTTATTCCTCTGTATAGTCCCAGCAGCCGGAGACCTCTTTCTCCAGCCCTGAGCTACCATGATCTTAGTGATATAGCTGAGTCAGTTAACCATGACCCAGATGATGATTCTTTTACGGTAGAAGAGACTACCTTGTTTCAGACAAGGTACGAGAATGGCTATGATATTTCTGGCGATGAGCGGTATGAACAGTGGCTTTCTAAGTACCACCCAAACTTCGTTCGACCACTTGAATTTCACTCGGCATCTGTTGCGAAGTATCTTACTTGCCCTCCACCTGTGTCACGTGCGCCTAACTCCAAGCCCAAGTCATGTGGAAGGGTACTTACCAGTGCTGAAAGCATGAAAGTTATGGAAGAAAAGCAGAGGCTAAAGGAGAGAAAAGATGAAGCTAAACGGGAAAGAGAGGAAGCTAGGAAAAAGAAACAGGCCATGAAGTTGCTACCAGGTAAAAAGATCTCTTTGAGCAACACATTTGTAGAGAGTGTTTGTGACTTAGTGATACCATGTACAGGTAAAGGCCGACAAACCCGGTTAAGAGGCAGGACAACCTCTAAACTTACTGAGCCCAAGAATAGAGGTTAGTTTTTCTCTGCAACATGTACAAAACATTGACTGTTTTGCATAATTGAAGATAAACAACAAATTCTCTCCAGTAACTCCAACACACTTGAACAAGACACAGAAGGTTTGTCATTTTATTGTAGATTCATTGGTGTAGTCTTTTGTGTGTACAGAGGAAGATGAACCGTGTGGGCATCTGACACAGAGAGACGAAACAGTTACTCAGTTTGTGCCTACACATTCCTCTCCTGAACTAGATAATGCAGGTGTGTGCTTCTATTAGAAGTGAGCTACATGTTTGGAAAATTTCTCTTATTTATCCAGAGGAAGACCGAACGTGTCTGCCTAACTTGACATCCGGTGTAATCAGGTCAACTGCTCGGACTACACATGCAGTAACTTCCGCTAAAGCACGGAGTGGAAGTTAGTGAATTTCGCTATAATGGCATTTCCCCCACTTTTAATGCATGGATCATTATTCTGTCACACAGTGAGCTCCCAACAAACTCGGTCACAATCATTACGAAGGGGGAGGACAGCTCAAAGAGAGTTATCTTTTGGACAAGAGAGTAATGGTATGTAGGTTTATTGTTGGTTATTGTGCCTGGATAACCATGTTTTCGCCGAGGAAGATGATCCGTGTGGACGCAAGAAAACTGTGACACAGAGAGACAAAACAGTCACTCAGCCTACACAAACAAAGTCCTCTCCTGAACTGGATAATACAGGTGTGTGCTTCTATTAGAAGTGAGCTACATGTTTGGAAAATTTCTCTTATTTATCCAGAGGAAGACCGAACGTGTCTGCCTAACTTGACATCCGGT